GGTTTTTCCAAGAGAAATTTAGATGATTTCTCCAACTTGGATTATAATGAGTACCATAAGGATTGTTCCCTTGGTTCACAAAAGCTGCATTGACTTGTTCATTAGGTTTATTTTGCACTTGTCCGTGAGGATAATGAGAAGTAGAATGAAGGACACTAGAACAAGTCATACATGATTCATTTGATGCACGATGAGAATGGTTAGGGAAGGAAGATACTTGGTTCGCTGAGTTTTGGTTAATCAAAAATTGATCAAACCTTTAAGATAAAGACTTCATTTCGGCGGCTATTTCATTTGAATGGTTGACTTGATGTAAGCTAACACTCTTCCTACCTTGTGTATTTCTACCATTCTTTGAAGACAATGTTCTATGTAATGAATTTTCACTCATGCGCTCATAGAGACGCCACACATCATCCTCATGCCTATCAATGTATGAGCCACCCATGGAAGCATAAACCATACCCTTATAGTTGTCCAATAAGCTCTCAAAGAAGTATTGAACTAATTGCCATTTGGGCATGTCATGGTGTGGACACTTCCTAAGCAATTCATTAAAGCGTTCCTATGCCTCATGAAATGTTTCTCCATCCCCATGTGTGAATTCTCTAATTGAAGTTCTCATGGCATTGGTCTTAGAAACCGGATAGTACTTCTTCAAGAACTCTTGTTGCATTTCTGCCCAAGAAGTGATTGAAAAAGGCCTAAGATTGTTAAACCAATTCTTTGCCTTGTCTTTTAAGATTAATAGAAAAAGTTTGAGTCTTAAGACCTCTTCCGGCATATCCGTATATTTTACGGTGGAACAAACTTCTAGAAACTCATCCAAATGCTTATAAGGTTCTTCACTAGGAAGTCTATGAAAGTTAGGAAGCATTTGAATGGTTTGTGCTTTGATTTCATACTGATGTGCTCTAAATGGAGGCAATTGGTTGCATGTAAGTGCATTATACTCATTAGGCACATAGTGGTCTCTTAAAGCAAGAGGTGGATTAGCTACTTGAGGTGTAACATGAACACCTTGGTTTTGAATTCCTTGATTGATGATGGAAGGTTGTGGTGCATACATTGGCCTTGGCATTCCATATGGAACTTGGCCTTGTTGTTGTTGTGGTTGGTGAATGTATGGCCTAGGCATGCCTAATGGTACTTGTATGTTCTCATTGTGCACATTAGGATGAAGAATACCTTGTTGGTCTATGTGACCAAGGTCCTCAACATGATCATCACTATGGTCATCCATTGATAGATTGGTTCTATTTGAACTTCCTCTTCCCCTAGGATTTCTAACGATGGATTCAAGATGCAAATCTAAAGGGACAAGAGTTGGTCTCAATGAACGACGTCTATGCATGCACAATGCAAAACACAACAAGCACAAAGAATGACAAACACTATGCCTTCACAACAATGCAATTAGACTTCTACCACAAATACTTAATTCATACTCCCATGTTTGAAACAACAATGATGCAATGATAAGAAAAATGCCTCCACACGGGCTCACGATTTAACTAAGAAATTAAAAACAAGCCTCCATGCAGGCCGACGATTTAACTAAGGGATTGAGTAAGAAAAAGCTCACAAAGATCCTAAAGCACTTCAACTCCAAATTTAAAGCTTAGCTTAGCAAATTTTTTTAAATTTTTAGCTTTTTACTTTCTTGCTTAGCTCCATTGCTTGATGGCTCCTTTGCTTGCCTCCTAGCTCAATGCTCTTTGTCAAAGATGAACAAACACAATAAGTAACCAAAAAAAAAGAATAATAAAAATAAAGTAAAGACATGATCAAAAGAGTACTAATTCCTAATTGATTCCACAAATACGACGTTGCCTAATCAAATCAATCCCCGGCAACAGCGCCAAAAACTGTGGTCGTCGTCTTACCATAAGCTTAAAGAATGTGCATTAAGGCGAGGGCCAAGTTTTACATTTATTGAAGCCATTACTACCTTCACTAAGAATATAGTTAGGGTGAGTAGGGATCGTCCCAAGGGATTGTGAGGGTCGAACAAGATTGTGGAATCGTTATTAGGGCTAGTAGGTCAAATTATCAAACAATTGGTTGGTTGGTTGATTAGACTAGAGAGCAACTAAATTAAACTAAGTGATAACAAAATTATGCAATTAAGAGTAAATAAGAGAGAGAAGAGTCTTGAGGTTTAGAGATCACCACCAAGCAATGCATTTATATACCATTGCCAAGTGACTAATGAGGGCAAATGGTGTGTTGTAATATTGGCGTGTGTGTGTGTATGCGTTTGGTTGATTCAACAAGCAAGGATGACTAGTTAAGCATGTATTGTCTAAACATCATGTGAAAGGCACAATATATCTAAGCAATGAAGCATATATTGTCTAAACAACATGTGAAAGGCACAATAGATCAAAACAAGTCATTAATCCTTTCATTAAGCTCACAATCCAAATACAACACATGGTTAGAGACATATGCTACCTGCATTAAAAAGCATGTATCATCAATCAACAAGCATGGATTGTCCTCCCATTTAACACTACACTACAACTACACTACATCTACACTACTAGCATGAAAATAAACTAAGGGAGAGGCACAATCCATCAAGAAATGAGTATGAACTATCAAGAAAATCACAAGAGCATTCCATGAAGTACTATATTTTGACAATCTCTAAATCTATAGCATCAATACACATAGACATGCATCAATAACACAAAATCTAGAGACAAGCACATGAACATCTATTCTAGCATACATAGACATATGGATAGAATGAAATGATCAATTGAAAGCATTTAACTACATAAATCATTAAATATTCAAGATCTATATATATCAAAGTGTCAAAACATTAATTACAACACTAATCCCTCAATAATACACAAGATTAAGATATCGAAATCATGTTTGGGGCTAACTCTAGCCCCAAGAGGATGTCTAGCCACTCATGGTGATGTTGCTCCAACCCTCAAGGTCTAACTCCATGGAAGAAATCCGCTCCTTGTTGATAAAGAACTCTCCAATGGTGTCTCTAGCCTCCTCCTCTAAGCTTCTACCCTAAGAATAACCTCTAAAGTTGTATCTACCAAATGCTAAGTCTCTCCTCAAAAAGTGCATCATATTCCTTTTATAGGTAGGTCAAGTGACACACAAAATGAGTTGGGGTCGTGCAAAGCATATTCCCCAATGATTGGAAAAAGACTACTTTCAATGAGCTGGAAATTTAACTTTTTCGCACTAGAGAAAGTTCGATCGATCGAACCTTGGACTTAGATCGATCGAATTTGGCTGAGATCTATCGAACTGAGGCTGGATCGATCCAACTAGTTGAGCTTTTTGGGAAAAGACAAATTTAAGATTTTTTTGGAGATATTTTGAGGAAAAGGACAAAAGTGGTTGGTAGGGTGGTACAACTAGATAAGATCAATCATTTGGATAAGGACAAAGTGTTCGATCGATCGAAGAATGGTGTTGGATCGATCAAACTTTTGACTTTCTGCTTTGGGGTCGAGGTTTGGATCTATCATGAAGTGCTGAGATCGATCAATGTTGGATTAATCGAACCTTGAAGTTGGATCGATCGAACTTTGCTGCTTCCCACCTTTGGCTTCTTTTTGCTTCTTTCTTTTTCCATTTTGCTCCTTTCTTTGTTTCATCTCAGAATTGCTTTATTTAAGCTCTTATTTGGCTGAGTTAGCTTATTTTCAGGATAAGTGCCTGAAAATGGAAATAATACTAAATCAATCTAAAATGGTAAAGTAAGATAGATAAAGGTACTAGAATGCCTAAGCTTAAAGAGTTTAATACGCATTTTTCAGTGCTCATCATTGGGCTTAGCTCGCATAAGCTCGTGAACATAGGCTCGTTAAGGCTCGTATTAGGCTCGTTATATATATATATATATGTGCATATTAATTACGCCCAACTCACTTCTTTTCATTAATCAGGCCCAACTTAAATCCCTTCATTAATCAAGCCCAACTTAAATCCTTTCATCCACATCTCACCATCTCAGCCGTGGAGTTAATTCCTTTCATCTCACCATCTCAACCGTTGAGTTCAGAAATCAGAATTAACCTAAAAACACTATAGCCACATAATCTGTCGACAATACTCTACACAAAACGCAACGCATTTACAGGCCAATTCTCTCTCTCTCTCTCCCTGTCTCTCTCTCTCTCAGATCAACACTGAGGATACTAAAAGTGACCTGGGCTTGATATGATCCAGATTGCTGAGAACGGGTCAGGTAAGGGCAGCTGAAATGAAACAAGTCCTTGCTAAGCAGGCCCAGGTCCAGGAGGTCAATAGAGAAGCCCGCAGTAGGATGAAAGAGGTTGAGCCCAAACAAAAGGAAGGTAGATAAGGCCAGCCCATCACAAGAAAATCAGTTAGAAAGCTTCAGAAGTGGTTGTAATCGTCTATAAATAGACGAAAAGGAAAGGAAAAAAGGGTTAGAAAATGTTTAAAGTGCGTAATTTCTCTTTCTAAATTGGGGGAAAATGTTGTGCATCTTCAATGGCGCCGTCTGTGGGAAGCGATGAGGATTGATTGATGTTTGATCCAAATCGATTCGATCCAGAGTAATTTATGAAGAAGATGCTTGATCTCTGAAAGCTGAATCAATGAAATCGTGGTCTGTCTTGCTGAATCTCGGTTCTAGTTGATTTCGAAAGATTGTCATCCGATTTACGCAATTCTGATCTGTGTTTGTTCCGGTGAGATGCGCAGTTGAGACTTGTTGAGATTGTCGAATTTAGCAAGATCATCGCAGAAGTAATTCAAATCCGGCCAGTAGCGATCGGAATTCAACTAGTTTGAGTCCAGATCTAGTGCGTTTGCATTAGCAAAGCTCAGATCTGATCAGAAATCTGTGGTTAATGACTTTGCTCCGATCAGGAATGATGATCGGAGAAGAGAGCTCAAATCCATTGGAGAATGGCCAGCAGTCGAAGATCGATGAGTTAATGAGCATGATCGAAGCCCTGAGAAGAAAGAATGCAGAATTATGAGCTGGAATGGAGCGTCGTGAGGCTCCTACTATTCCAAGGCCACCTCCGGTAGGAAAGGGAGTCTTGCCGTTCAATGTTGTTCATCAAGGTGATCCAGAAGGTGTCAATCGCATGGATCCTCATCGTGAAGAAATTTTGGTAGGCGATTTACCTCCAAATGTTCGTCAGGTAGAGGATCGAGAGGGATCTATTCATTTGAAAGGATCATGCGAGAAGAAGCACCAGCGTTTGATTATAGGGCTACATCACCGTGGTAGAGTGAGTTTGCGGAGGATAGATCGTTTGATCCACCCTATCGGCCTTCAATGGCAACGTTTGATTATAGGAGTTCAGAAAGGAGATCTGCAGACCTTAGAGTTCCATCACGGTTCTTAAGGGAGAATGAAGCACTTCGTTCATCAGTAAGAACAATTACATCTCCATTCACTAACAAAATCCTAAACGCTCCAAATCCGAGGAAGTTTTCCATACCGATCTTCATTCTGTTTGATGGAACAACCGACCCGATTGATCACATCTACCACATTCAGTTGAAAATGGCTTTAAACACAAACAATGATCCTTTGATATGCAAGTGCTTCCCTATAAGTTTAGCTGGGCCAGTCCTCAATTAGTTTAAGAATCTGGCTCAAGGTTCAATTGCTAGTTTCCAGGACTTGTGCGACAAGTTCATAAGCCAGTACTATGGGAATAAACGCCCGGCCAAGGACATTTCAAGTCTCTTTACAATGAAGCAACACGAAGATGAACGACTCCAAGCTTTCCTCACCAGGTTCAACCTTGTCAAGAGCATGGTAATGGAATGTCATCCGTCTACGGCGATTCAAGTGTTCAAACTTGCAATGAACCGAGGAACACCGTTCCACACAAGCCTAGTGGTAAATACACCAAAGACCATAGACGAGCTGAATGAGAGAGCTGATGATTTTGTGCGTCTGGAAGAAGAAGAGGCAGCTAATGCAAGGAAGACATCAATTATCTCAACAAAGGAAAAGTCTAAAGCCAAAATCCGGCAAAAACAAGCTCAACCACATTGTCAGACCTCCTGGAAGGCCGAGAAGAGGCCCAGAGAGGAAGAGGCAATTACTCCACTCAGAGTTACTCTGGCAAGGCTGTATCAAGAGAATAAAGATAAGTTTCGCCCTCCCTTACCAATCAAACAACCTTTTGAACAGAGGGATCAATCTAAACATTGTGCTTTCCATAGTGACTTTGGTCATCAGACTAATGAATGCAGGAACCTAAGGAGGCAAGTAGAGATGCTGATCGCAAAAGGGGAATTTGCAGGATATGTTCAAGGGCCAGCACAGGAGCAGAATCGACCGACTGAGCAGGTCAAGATAACTCAGAAGCTGAGTCACCATAGCACTCAGCCCATTCGGATTATAAATGTAATTCATGGCTGACCTGAACAGACAGCAAAGTTAGAGGAGCTGCTCAGAACGCGACAACGCCAAGCACAAATGAAGAGGAGGATTGGCAGTGTGCATGCTTTGCATCAGCAGAACGCATCCGCACAGAAAATGTTTGACAGAACGAACCTGTTCCGCGTCCAGACCTCTCATGAAGATCCACTGGTCGTCAGTTTGACGGTAGCAGAATGCTTGGTGTGAATAGTTCTGATTGATCCAGGAAGCAGTGCGAATGTCATGCCCAAAGTAACATTTGATCAGCTTGAGATCAAGCCGAAAAGGCTCAAACCCACAGGAAATCCATTGCTGGGGTTCGCTAGGAAATGGGTGGAGCCCATTGGCATGGTAGAATTGATTGTGCAGGCTGCTGAAAGAGTTCTGACAGAGACATTTGTAGTCATTGAGATCCATCCCTCCTACAACCTTCTGATGGGAAGAGGGTGGATCCACAGAGTCCAGGGTGTTCCATCAACTCTGCATCAAGTGATGAGATGTTTAGGTCCAGATAGGAACAAAGTGATTGACATTCATGGAGATCAGGTCACGGCCAAGGAATACTACTCTGTAACTCTGAAGTCTGCTGCAAAAGGAAAAGCACCCATCCATTCTACTAACCCAAGATAACAATTACATGGTCCTGCACCTAACAACAGTGGGGAGGAGGAGCCTTCGGTCTTGATTGAAGAACCTCTTGTTGACGTGCAGATCGACCATAAGAAGCCAGATCGAACCACATAAGTGGGAACAAGATTTGTAAAAAAGGAGAAATAAGGGCTGAAGAAATCGATCGATTGCTCGATGCAGGGTTCATTAGAGAGGTCCAATACCCAGTTTGGCTCTCAAATGTCATCGTTGTGCAGAAAAAGAATGGGAAATGGAGAGTATGTATTGATTTCACTAATCTGAACAAAGCTTGCCTGAAGGATAGCTTTCCATTGCCAAAGATTGACTAGATGGTGGATGCCACTACTGGGTACGAATGGTTAACATTCCTGGACCCGTACTCGGGCTACAATCAAATCCCTATGGACCCCATTGATGAAGAGAAAACTTTTTTTGTCACCGAGCAAGGAACCTACTGGTACAAGGTCATGCCATTTGGACTAAAGAATGCTGGAGCTACTTATCAGAGGCTGATCAGCAAGATTTTCAAAAATCAAACGGGGAAGACTGTGAAGGCATACATTGATGACATGGTGGTAAAGAGTAAGAAGAAGAAAGATCACCTGGAACACCTACAAGACGTGTTCAGTGTGTTAAAGAGGTATGAAATGAAGTTTAACCCAACCAAATGCTCATTTGAGGTGAGCTCTGGCCAATTCTTAGGACACGTGGTCAATTATAGAGGAATTAAAGCCAGCCCAGCCCAAACAAAATCTCTGATCAGCAATGCAGAACCAAAAATAGTCAGAGAGGTGTACGCACTCACAAGAAGAATAGCCGCATTGAGTCAGTTCATTTCTAAATTGTTAGATCGATGTGAGCCGTTTTTCGATACAATACGAGGCCATGGAAGGCAGGCCTGGGGGGATGTGCAAAGACAAGTACTGACCAGCTTGAAGGAATATATGCGGACCCTCAAGTATTATGTGCTCTTGAGTCGGGTGAAAAACTTTTTATATACCTCGGTGTGTCCAGCATTACTACAAGTGTCGTTCTGATTCGCCGTAAGGAAGAAAAATAGTTCCTGGTGTTCTATGTCAGCAAAACAATGGCAGAACCAGAAAGAAAGTATTCAAAGGCCGAACGAATGATCCTGGCATTGGTAAATGCCAAAAGGAAACTCAGGCATTATTTTGAGTCCCACCCTGTTGTCGTTCTGACCACCTTCCCTATAAAGACGATCCTGCATAAGCCAGATCTGTCTGGAAGAATGATAAAGTGGGCCATAGAGCTGAGCTAATTTGACATAACTTATGAACCCAGAACAACCATCAAAGGTCAGGTAGTGGCTGATTTCCAGCTAAAATGTGATACCGAAGACTTGGAAGAGGATCGTGAAGGTTCTCTTGGAAAATTTTCGTCGATGACTCGTCAAATCAAATGGGAGTAGGAATTGGGATCAGACTCCAAACACCAGAGGGTACTACGCTGAGCCAAGTGATTAGACTTGAGTTTAACGCAACCAATAATGAGGCTGAATACGAAGCATTGCTGGCTGGACTGAAGTTGGCTAAGGAATTGAAGATCAAAAGTTTAGTTGCTTTTAGTGATTCGCAGCTAATAATACGGCAGGTAACTGGAGAATATGGAACTAAAGATGAGACAATGGAAGCCTACCATTCTGCTGTTCTGTATGAAGCGAAAGACTTCGATCAAATCAAATTTATCCAATTGTCGAGAGAATATAATGAAGATGCCAATCGATTGGCATGTAGTGCATCTAGTTCTGGAGAAACGTTGGCTAGAGTTATCCCAATTGATGTGTCGAACCAGCCATCCATCTTTAATGAACCGTCCAGTTCGAACCCTCAGCAAGTTAATGTTATTCTATACGAGCCGAGCTGGATTGACCCAATCTTGACTTTCATACGGGATGGTGTGCTGCCCGAGCGAAAAGATGAGGCAAGAAAGATCAGGTCAAAGGCTGCGAAGTATGTTATTGTGCAAAATCAACTATACAAACGGTCTTTTTTAGGTCCATACTTAAAATGTGTTACCCCCATAGAAGCTGGGCAGATCTTGCGAACCATTCATGAGGGTGTATGTGGCAATCATTCAGGGGGAAGATCTCTGGCATAGGGGTATTTTTGGCCGAATATGTCACGGGATACAGAAGAATTCTCCAGAAGATGCGATAAATGCCAAAGGTTCGGACCATTGATACATCAACCACCTGAAGACTTGCACGTAATGGCTGGCCTTTCGCGCAATGGGGGATGGATGTGGTTGGCCCTCTGCTGACTGCAAGGTCATAGAACAAATACGTTCTACTAGCCATAGATTACTTTACCAAATAGGTGGAGGCAGAGCCGTATCCAAGTGTGACCCAAACTCAAGTAAGGCGCTTTATCTGGAGCAATATTATTTGTCGTTTTAGCGTTCCAAGGTCAATTTTTATGGACAATGGGACTAATCTCGACAGCAAACAAGTGAGGAAGTTGCTGGAAGAGTATGGAATTAATTAAAAGTTGGCAGCAGTTAGCCATCCACAGGCAAATTGTCAAGCTGAGATTACGAATAGAACAATCTTTTCCTGCATCAAGAAGAAGCTCGAAGATGAAAAAGGAAAATGGTTGTACGAGCTTCCGAACATCTTGTGGGCTTAAAGAATAACCCCGAAACGGCCGACCGGGGAGAGCCCATTCACTATGGCGTACGGCACCGAGGCAGTGATACCGGTAGAGCACTTAGTTCCAACTGTTAGGAGCTTAGCGTGTAATCAAGAGCAGAATGATAGCATGTTAAGGTTTAATCTTGATCTGTTGGAGGAGAAAAGAGACGCAGCTGCAATAAGGCTTGCATCTTATCAACAGATGCTCATGAATAGCCATAACAAAAGGGTGAAGTATAGAGACTTTGCCCTTGGCGATCTAGTTCTGAAAAAGAAGGTTGGGGTAGTCAAAAAGATGTTTTCACCATGGGAAGGTCCATGACGGGTTGCAAAAGTCATAGGAAATGGGGCATACGTTCTGGAGACCATGGCAGGAAGGTTGGTCAATAAACCATGGAATGCAACGAGTTGAATGCCAGACTCTTGCACAAAAAAATAAATATATACCGAGTGGCAAGTGACATTCTAGCCGACGCCAGGCACTTAGCAGAGCGAGTGGCAACTGGCACTACGAGCCGAACACCAGACTCCTGCACAAAAAATAAAAAAAGCCAAGTAGCAAGTGGCATTCTAGCCGAGCACTAGGCACTACGAGCCGAACACCAGACTCCTGCACAAAAGTAAATATATGCCGAGTGGCAAGTGGTATTCTAGCCGAGTGCCAGACACTTAGCAAAGTAAGTGGCAAGTGGCACTATTAGCCAAACGCCAAACACTTGCACACAAAAAAAAAAAAAATTGAAAAGTGGCATTCTAGCTGAGTGCCAAGCACTTAGAAAAGTAAGTGGCAAGTGACACTATTAGCCGAACGCCAAACACTTATCACAACAAAAAATAAAATAATAAAATAAAATAAAATAAATTAAAAGATCGAATTGTCATGTCATTCAGGGTTAAAGAATGGAAGTTTTGTAAAAAACAGATATATCATTCCCCTTTCATTTATCACAAAATAAGTTCTTGAGTACATGAGTTAATGTTCTGGAGGTACATGAATTCTTGAACACTTGTAAAAAATAAAAAAAATAAACTGCTGTAGAGGTCCACAGAACTTTAGTTGGCAGGTTCCTCTCCTAGCCCAGACTCATTGTCTCCCCCACCATTACCCTCTGGCTCATTGTTGACCTCTCCACCGTTAGTTGTTTCATTATCTCTGGGGGGAGAGTCAAGATGGATAACCCCCTCAGTCAGCGTAAGTCTGTTAGAGGCAACTGATGTGGAAGGGATGATAGTGGTGATAAGAGGGACGTTCAGAGGGAAAAAGGGTGGAGCAATCCCTGAAGCTGTAATCTCTCTGCATTCAATCTTGGCCTCAAGTAAGCTCTCTGATTCAACAAATCTCTTAAAGGCAGCAGAGAGAGACTTAAGCTTCTTGTTCAGAGCTTTAATGCTCTTTTGGAAGGTAAACATCCCAAATAGATTCTGTACAAGGGAAAGGATGTTCTGGCTAGTTCAACCATCAAATAATTAAAATGAAAAAGAAATGTATCTCAAGGGGAGGAAGAGTTACCTCAACGGCAGCTGCTGGGAACCGCCGGTACATCTCACTGAAGGTCATCTTGTTCTGGAAAAGCAAATGAAGTAAGAGAGTCCTGGAATAAAGAATCTGTGGGGCCAATGGTCGAGCCATCCTCACGGCTGAGCAAGGGGCGCCATGGGAGAATGGATGGTGTGGAACCAAAGGTTCTAGCAGATTCACCCTCCGGTATGAATAACTAAGGAGGGGGCAAAGGATCAGTGATCCTGAAAGAGGTCACCCTGGCCCTCTGCGCTGGTGGGATGTCGCTCTGATCATGACCACCCTCAGGCATCGGCCTTTTGCCCAGGCTCTTCTGTGACATACCAGCTCAGACTGGAGGAGATCCTCCATTGTTTCGAGAAGAACCCCCAACATCCTGAGTGTCATCTGAAAAAGTGTCAACCAGAATGTTAGAGGACTCATTGATCGATTCAGTGGGTTAAGCCTCAGTAGAATAATCTACAACTTGAGCCTTAATAGGGATAGACGTAGAGGGCCCAGCAATAGAATGATCTACAACTTGAGCCTTAGTAGGGATAGACGTAGAGGGCCCAGCAATAGAATGATCTACAACTTGAGTTACAACTGGGACAGTCATAACTTGTTCCGGAGCTGGGGACAGTTGAGGAAGTTGTTGTGGTGACAGGTGCAGCAGAAGGAGTGGGAGCAGAGTGTCTCCTCCTGCTGAAGGATGGAATCTAAATACTCTCCATTGTAGATCCTAAGAGAAATATGTCAGAAAGATTGTCAGAAGTAAGCAAGTCAGTAGCTGAAGGGATGTTGTTCAGCACTCTCTCTTTTAGGACGTCAAGCTTGGCCCTACAAATGCTG